GCCTGTTCTCGTTCTGAGATGGGTGGTGCAAACACTCCGATCTTCGCGCTTTGGAGGGTGGCGTCGAGCGGGAGAGGGAGAGAGAGAGGTGGACGCGCCAGGAGCTCGCATTTTCCTTGCGTTCTACACGGCATCGTTGACCGGAGACCACGCGGCGGAACGGTCAGATAACACCGACGCGAACGTGTCCGATCACTGATCGAAACATTACAGCTTGTTGGCCCACATCCTAATGGCCATCGAGACGATTCAGGTCTTATCACAAGTGCTCTTTTTGTCGGAACAGGTACCAGCAAACGTTCAGACACTTTCTGGGCTGGCGTTCCATTCCTACTTGGACTGGATTCATCGCTGTGCCCGTGGACGCGTTACCACAGGTCTTGTGGGATGCCTGCACGTTATCACTAGAGGATGCATTTGGGGTAGAGAAACAAAAGAAGACGAGGAAATCGAATCAAAGTCCGAGCAAAACAAGTCAGTTTCCAGAGCAACCCAACAGTAAAGTGAAGACAAGTGGACACGGTTTGTTCTCGCTGCTAGGTGACCAGGAAGCTTGAGTACAATAGTAGCTGGAAATCCATTTGTAAACCTCATTGCCTGTACCACAACACATGCCAGTCGACATCGATGTTGTAGGACATGTCTGCCAGACACAGCATAGTATAATGAGCACATCCACTGTACATGCGGCTGGCGATGCTAGATCCATGTATGGTTCAGGCTGATGTGTATAGCATCGTATTAAGTATATTACTATTCATCGAAGCCACAGCTATAGCTAGCAGGTAACGACACTGGCTTTTAGCACAGTATCGCGCCTACTGGTACACCGATGATCACGTGCACATGACGTGGATAGTACTTAAAATGATCTTCAACCGTCCTGTCAGCATGCCATCCCCAACACCCACTTTCGCTCTTCGAATGCCATAGCTCCAATCATACAGATCATGTCTCACCAAAGAAATGCATCCTCTCGCCGCTCCCCAGCCACCGTAGACATTGTCACTTACCGCCTGAAGGATCAGATGATGTACGTGCCCGTGGCATCAAATTACGCGGTCAGTATGCTCGTCTCCCCAGTTCAAATCCTCTGACACATCGGTCACAGCAAGCAGTTGAATACGTTCGGGATGCATTTCCTAACCTGAGGAAAATCAAGGACTCCTTGCATAACATTGTCCCTAAACGTCATAACCGGGAGCCACCGACAGTCTGTTGGTATCACTGCTGCAGCCTGGCCGAAGATGATCTCCCATCCTGTCGCGCTATGAAGTCATCGACATTACACGATCACCACAAGCATCCCTAACATTACGGTCACCCCTGCTGACTCGTCTGACGTTGCACCTCCGTATCGCGGACCTGACGATACCTCCACGTACGACGAGAAAGCACCGTCAGATTCTACGTATCCGCGCTCACACAGTCGCTCGCCTTCGCCAGGTCCACCTGCAGCGAAGCTGAGCCCCAGGTGGTTACTCCAAAAGCTCAACATCTCTCTCGATTGACAGCATTCGAGCTCCCTGTACGCATCCAACACTGAGAAACTGCTGTCAAGGCAGCTGGCAGGTCATCGCCTTCGCCAAGGTCCACCTGCAGCAAGCTTGAGCCACAAAGCTCAATGACTCCTCCCAGATTAACAGCTTACTCAGGCTATCGTTGTGGCAACTGCCATCGCATGAATTAGAGGGGCTTTGTACTGTACGGAACTATTATACCCCGCTTGGACATCGTTAGAACTATCATACCTCATTATGTAGCATATGTGCTTTTGATTCCATTATATCAGTGCCTATCAAGGATAACCGGTAACTGTTAATTGACGTTAATTTGCCGTACAGAGTGCACCAGTGAACTTCAGATCCACAGTACTTAGTACGCTGGAGTCCAACCTGGGTTCGCAATGATCGACCCTCGATCAATCATACAGTATGTAGCCCTAATTACAGTGGATAGATGCTGTGAAAAACCAAGGAAACCAAAGCGGATATCTTCTGTCTTGTTAACCCTCAGCCCTCGTGGGCGAGTCAAATGCTAATCTGGTATCGTATGCACTACATACAGCACGATGGTTGGTTCTGTGCTACTGGATACTAACAACTGAGGTCTGAGCAGTCACAGCAGTACAGATAAAATTTGATGTTGCATCCAGTTCAAGCGTCTAGTTTGCCAATTCTGTGGTCTGCCCTGCTTAGGTATGTACGCCCAGAAGCTTCCTACTGTCACTTAACATGACCTAACACACCAGTCAGACACAGGGACAGTGACAAGATAAGTACTGAAAGAGGAGGCACTTACTGTGGCGCCGCCTACTTGCGGCTATACCCAAGGAGTGCCTTGCTCCGGAATGTTGCATTGTATTGCAATAGATTGTTGATATCCCTGACCCAGTCATCTTCTTTCCCTGGACCCACACCTTCTCCTGGGCGCTCATCTCCATCCTCAGATATTGACGATCTATTGATACAGGGAACAGGATACGGCGAAGCCTGCACTGTGACCGAATCCCCCGGATTTAGCACATGAGATACGCGCCCATCCATCGAAACCCCAGCCGCAGCACGGCTACGATCGCTAACCTGTGGAGGAAACATAATATGACCCACGTTCCAAAACGCTGTGGAGATGAGGATATGACGTACACGTAGAGTCACAGACGATGATGACGGGAATACAAGTGGGCGGAAGGATAGGCTCCGTGGACATATTGGAACGAGGACTACAGCACTCAGAGATGGGTGCACTATGGGCCCACCCGCTGAAAGCGAGTATGCTGTCGAGCCCGTGGGCGTAGACACAATTACGCCATCGGACTGTTCCATCACATCAATCCCCTGTTTGATCCTACATCAGGTAGCACGTACCACTGCCTCCGTTAGATGTTGACCATCGACGTAAATGTCAATGGTGTTGAGGTGTGGGCTTGAACCCCGATGCAACGCAATTTCGTTCATCACCTGCCATTCTGATGTCGCGAAACAGTTTGTATGGTCAGGGTGCGTGATGCAAATTCGGGCAACGCACCGTCAGCATCACCATCAGATCCCATCTTAGGTGAGTCCTTGTCGTAGAATGTGCACGAGAGGCGCATTCTGTTTAATAGAGTGGCCTTTCCATGAAAGACAGCCTCGAGACCCCTCACAAAATCGTCTATGTCTATGTCCAGCTGGCGTGCTTAGCCTTTAAGTATGCGATACACTGGCCAGCAAACTTACGAAAAGGCAGCAAGAACCCTAGGGTACCCATAGAGAAACTCAGCACCGGTGGGACAGCCCCGAGGCTGAACAGTGATGCTGCATGCAGGATAGTCCCATCTCCTCCGAGAGTCACCACCAAATCTATCTTCTCCGATTGGGGTCCCGGTCGCCAAACGTCTGCTCCTTCAGGGATATCCGGTCGATCCTCTGCGAACACTTTCACATCCGGATACGTCTTTCTGACGTGTCTGCCACACGATAAGTGTGGGACTGATCATGTGCGAAGAAATACGTACTGGAGAAGCTCCTTGATCGCCTGTATGACCGGCTCTGTCCTGAGCTTGTTGACTATAAGTACGGATCGTAAAGGGTATGCAGCACCCTGTTGGCTATGGCCTTGACTGTGAGCGAGATGTAAAGGTGCGCGGAACTAGACGAACTCTTGGACTGGGGTTGTAGAGACCGACGATACTCCTCTACCTTGTATCGGTATCGACTTGGGTAGGTTTCCAGGGCAAAAACGGCCCACGAACAGCTTGGAGCATGGCGCTCGTGGGTGCAAGGATCCGTTCAGGAATGAGTTATGAAGAGCACGCCGAGCATGGCGCAAGATATTCATGATGAATTAATATCCCAGCGGACCAGTATCGTTGTGGCTGCTGGCACGAAGAAAAATTGTCTTCCGGGTCTTTTCCCTTGTCCAGTGACTCCAGTCAGCGAAATTTCACACAGACGAAACGCAATCGTCAACGTGCCCCGACCCATCACCTGATTTTCCCAGCAGTTTACCACCTTGGTTCATGGCTGCAAAGCTAAAGCACCTCATTCTCTTAATCCTCTCAGGCCCTCGAGTTCTCCCGGTACGTAGACTAATTTAAGAGAAACTGAACAGTCATGTCATCGTGATTCATCTGGCCAACCTCGTTACCAACCGGGTACCCGCGCCGTGCAAATATGTACCCTTCAAGTTGCAATCCTATTGCAGCTGATACTGTATGCAAGGTGGCGGATTCACTGGCACGAGCTGTCGGTTCTTCCATCCGCGAGGATATCGTGATTCGTAAACGCTGCTGTCACATATACATTTTCCTCCCACAGATCCTTGTCAGGCAGAATTACATTTACTTCTGGAGAAAGTATGTTTCCACGAATGTTCCTCTCCTTTCCGACTTTGACCAGCGGGATCACTCCAGTCTTTCTGGACCTCACGCCGTGCTCGCATCCCTCCCATCTCCAATACTCAGAGAGGTGACCTCGAATACTGGGCGTAGTTCTGACAGCACGCAGGAAAAGACAAGATCTGAATTACATTGACCTACGAGTCATCGGGCGACGCGCCTCCAGGTCCAGGGGAATTCCGAGCATAGAGGGATGCGCGACGACAGAAACCTTGGTGATATTCTCGATTTCCAACGCGAAGTATAAACGGCGATTCCAACCTGACATGCATCACCCTGGCGGAGTCGTTGGGCCAAGCGTAATCTTCTATGTGACAGCATTGGCTTACCTCCAAACCATAGCCGTTGGCCGGTGGGCTTCGCTCTCTTGATGCCGTCCTGCCCACTCCGCCGCAACACGGCGAATCAGCTGTTGGTTTGCATTCCAATCTCGGAGTCCTGGGGAAGTGGGTCGCCGTCGAACAAGTCGGGTAAACTTGTCTGCCAGACGTGAGATGGCGACTTCTGGGAATCTGGTAAGGGGTGGTGGTCCTTCACCTTAAACCGTTCCAGGCTTTCAAACACTGCCACCATTAGAAACGAGGTCAGTGCAATTGTAAGGGTGAAATGACTGTCTCTGCATGGCACGATGGCCGAGCGGTCTAAGGCGCTGGAATCAGGCCCACTGAGATATCCAGTCCGAAAGGGCGTGAGTTCGAATCTCACTCGTGTCAATATACTTGTTGGATTTTTTTTTTTTTTTTTGACAACTCGTCCAGCTCTGTATGCCTCAAGTTTACCCTCCAGACACCAAATCTAAATAACGTGTTTGAGAAGATTAAGGTATCTAGTGCGAAATTATATATCTGACTTCTCATCTGAATCTGGTGGCCCCTCCTTTCCAGTCTTCCCAAACCTTCCTACAGACGTTGCGTGCCAGAATGAAAGGTTTCGGTGTGCAGGCCATTTCCCACACGCGGAGTGCAAAGTCTCGTTGCGATCCAGACTCGAAGCTCTGACGCAGTATCTCCATGGCTTTGAAAGTCGGAGCTAAGAGACGATGCATGGGATCAAGCAGCGGGGAAAGTGGTGGGGGAAGTGGGGTGAGCCATGACCTGTGCCTATACACCGGCCCCTGTCAATTACCAGATTACAAATTCAGAGTCAAGTACGCACCAGGTAGGCAATGTCTGGTTGACCTGAGCTGGTCGCCACAACCGATAATCCCGTATCGAGAGCCGGGATTACCGCCCGAGGTCGGGACACCCCGCGATGGCTTCGACTGCCTGCTCGAAGTTCGCTTTGCGCTGCTCCCAGTGATCATTGAGCTGCGAGACTATATGACATCAGATCTATTTGCTCCTGCCCTGCCCAGCGGCTTCTACTTGTCCAGAGATACCATCCCTCCTCCCAATATCTGATATCGTCGTGTGTGGCGGGTGAATCCAAATCATCTCGACGAGGGCCACTTATAGGTTGTCCCTCTGGAGGAAGGGGAAAGCGGGCAGTTTGTTTCCCCGTTCGCCCGTTAAGTAAGAAGTTAGTCAGTTCGTGGGGGTAGACTTTGCGGAGACATATTGTGTGACAATTGGGTTCGCGGCGCTCGGCTCTTCCACGGGAGGTCTGTGAGCAGTATGTAAAGCATCTCTCGTCGATATTGTTGGGAACTTTCCCTTTTCGAATGCACTGTTAGATTGAAAGCAACAAACGGAATATGGAAGCACAAACCAGGCGGTTGTCGAGTCAAGGACAGCCAAGGTGTGTGCATAGGCTGCTTGGGTGGTGGCTGAACGTGTGCATTGGGAGACTTTTGAGACCTGGTGTCCTCGTCCCTTTGTGAGTTTGTTGAACTCATACGTTAGGATGTGGTGGTGGACGCTAATGGGTTATGTACAGCATGGAGTTTGGGGCAGTGTGATTTGATAACTTGGACCAAACTCTTCGGCCTTTCGGCATTTTCAATCGGAGTGTAAATGCGATCAAAACCTTTATCAACGAATTTTTTTTATTACTTTCGGCAATACCACGTCGTATGAAGAATCGCTGTCGCAGTACACGCACAGGAAGCATCTAGCTTTCATATTTCCGCTGTGGGGAAAGTCCCCGGAGACACAGAGTTCTACCTCCTCGCCCGGAATACGGAAAACGCCCAGCTTCAAATTGTTGAGGGGGGTGACATAGGTTGGGCGAAGTCGATTACTGGACTCCTTTACACTGGGGAAAGTTCCGTTCGCCCACTCTGTCGCTAGCTTGAAGTCGAGCAGTTCTAACGCCGACGTATTCGTGCGAAGATATGAGCATGTTTGCGTTTTGAGCTGTTTGATGGATGACTGGCTTTTCGTTGCTCATAGACATAGTTATGCGATCGTCGGCGTGTGCCTTTCCGGCCGCCTTCAACTCAATGGGGCTTACTCTCATACGACGTGGACCTCTTGGATTTTATTTTTTGCTCTTCGAACGCTCGTCGTTCACTCAACGGTTGCGAAGATATTAGTCATGAGGTGAGTAAACCACTCTTACTTAAAAATCCATGATGCTTCCAAACTTTATGGTTTGAATTTCTTCAAGGAGAATACCTTTTCCAAAGGGCGTGCTCCAGAGATTGACACTTCTGATTCTCCTCCATCTCGACGAGAAGTCGCGTACTGATGGTGTTATCTTGCAGGTAACTGGGTGCTCCTTTCCTTTCGAAGTGGAGAAGCTGCCTGTATGCCGTCCGGCATGCATAAGTGGTTGTAAATGTACCCCGTTACTCTCCTACTCTTCGTGAACCCCATCTTAGCTATTGAATGTAAAGCCTGTCACCAAATATAGTCAGGTTTCTCCTTTGAGTCTCGCTGCTATAGCACTTGTGGTATCAAGGTATTTAAACCAAGTTTGATAATTTCAACCTTGGCATGAGCTTCGTGATGCCAGCAATGTATACGCGACAGCTCGTGCCTACGACTGCCGTACGCGGCACAATTCTAGAAGTTGATCGCTGCCGCAATGCACGGCATCGTCGAGCGGCAGCATCTCGGGCCCCAGACGGCACGGGATAAGGTTCCACGGCCACGACGGCAGGCAATCAGGGGGGCATTTGCTCTTTTTTTTCCAGTTCATGATGACGGCGTGTATCAGTGTGCCGTTTTATTGGAAGAGGCACATAAAGTGAGCGTGATGCGGCTGAGGACTCTTCTCTCCGTAGCACCCACTACACTCTCATAGTCCTGTCCTGAGAATCGTCCGCATGCTCTCCCAGGAAACTGTACAAACACACTCTGCTACCCTTGTTCAGCACGAACGCCCGGTACGTGTCGTAGCAGAACTCACCAGCTTGACAGCCGTCACTCACATTTTTAAATCCGGCTTCTTCATAGAATATCCGAAGGGATTCAGATCCCACCGAAGATCCGGACGTTGCCAATCCCTCCCCACCCCACTCGCGTTCAGGGGACCTGGCGCCTGAATTCCTAGCAGCACTATGGCAGGCAAGGCTCGAGCTCGTCATATTCAAGCTGGAGCGCAGAGCGGTAGGTGGTCGCGGTTGGCCCAGGATACGGGCCAGTCTCCTCACGTCGACAACATCAGCTTCCGGTACTGAAGGCATTTAGTCGCGTGCCACCGTCCAATGTACGCTGGCACCGTGATGACAGACCGCCACATCCGCTACGAAGGTAACGTGCTGTTCTGTATTTCGGTTCTTTAATCGTCCGCTCATCGTCTTGAATAGACAGATTGCAGACCATTTGGGACGAGCGCATACCAGGTAGTCTAACCACTCTGGTACTATGGTCATATAACTCATAGCCGGACCCTAACGATTTCGTAGCCAGGACCACGGCGTCCCCCAAAGCTGTCCCCATACAGTCGTTGGCACCAGACCTACTGCTGGAAAGACCCGTTAAGACCTGCCCCCGAACGCCGTGTGGAGACAATCTGTCCGATCGACGCATCAACCAATACCAGATCAATCAAAAGACCCGAAATACGCAGCTCGTGGCTGAAATGGAGAGGTCCCTTACCTACCAAATACCAGCGAGTTCGTATTCTCGGTGGCACTGTCTTTGCCCACAGGTACAAACGCGGAGGGGAACGGGAGAACGCGTTTCTGGGCGCGGCAATGCAAGCGCGGCGTTATTCGATGGACGGAAGTATATTCTACTCTCCCTACTAGGTGTTCTGGAAGCTGGAGAACGTAAAGGGCAAAGAAACTCGGACGTAGTCATGACCATGACATTTGTCCAGGCGCCGTTCACAAACGTGATTCGATGCAACACAATCATATATACTCACTTGGTTTCTCATGATTTCCTACTCTGTGCATATATTTGTAACTGTAGCTGTCTGTAGTAAACATACCACTAGTACTGGTTGGGTGGACTCCCTTAAAGTCTGAATCGTCATACTTTGGGGGATTGGGTAACTGATTGTGAACGTGGTCTTTCTGACTCGGGCTTGAAGCTTGCTGACGAGAGCTCTGGACTAGGACCCTGGGAAAATGGAGCAGGACGGAGTCGAACCAAGCCACTTCTCCAAGTGTCCCTTTGACCTTGGCCATCTAAGCATCATTACACGGCCGTGGTACCTGGTCCAGCATATCTGCTGTAGGGGGTCGCAACCCCATACACTGGCCAACATGTCAACCTCTGGAGTCTGCCATCCTATATCTCGACTTCACACCATAAGCAAAAGGAAGTCAGATTACTTTCGAACGCGATCCTCTGACTACTGGTCGAGGCGTGCTTCAGCAGGACTCGCCTCGAAGTTGTCACCTGGATCTCACAAAGGATAGCAAGCCGATGCTTCAAGTTGTCTGCTGCAGGCTGCAAAGGTGAGGTTCTATCAAGCCGATTGGGTAATATACACGTTGCCGACAGCTGAGACAAGTGTAGTCCCAGTATGGCAAGGGAACCCCTGAAACTGAAAGGATCTAGTAGAGCCTGAGGTATCCGTATCAGATCTGCCCTTCAACACGTGTATGAGAGCACCCCCCATATCCCTTCTCTCAACAACTCACTTCATTTCCCGTCGTCGCTTCGCATTTTGTGCTCGATCTTGTCAATATTGGCCATGGATGACACTCGCTATTGCAATCCACAGCACCAGCACTCGAGCTATAACACAAGGACCATAAGCCCTGCGGCCTACTGTCAGCTACCACTGGACACAACGATATATACCGTCTCAACTAACTTCACGAGCGACATGATACATGTGCGCTGCCACACAGCCTGCCGACCAACTACGCACTGGTCCGTACCTGTCACTCTACCAATCAGGAGTATTGGGAACTCCGGAGAGAGGTCGATCTTGAAGCCGTGCGTGATTTTTCTTCGGGGCGTTGTCGTGACGGGGCTTGATAGCAGGGACGACGTAGCTTGTGATGCAATTGCAGGGTACGCGGGCACCTGCGAATAACACAAGCGATGTTGGGATGCCAGTGAATGTACGGTGAGTACCCAGAATGAGACGTTGAGACAAAGGGATTGACATTAGGATGTGCAGAACCGGAAACGAGATCAACCGGGCAAAGCTCGCCACGGTGTCGTCTGAGAAGAGGTGAACGAGTCCTTTATTCTCGTTGTAACGAACCATCACGAACAGTTATTACAGTTCAACCATGGATAAAACAACCGAAGTCCCAGAGGTAACAGTCGATACCTCAAGCGCGTGAGTCGGCCTACGAAAGATCCAAGTAGGAACCCCGACCTCGAAGCTGACGAGGTCGTGGATAGGTCCTCCTCCAAGAGTC